AGCAGTTGCTCTTTTCGTCTTTCTGGGCGAGTGAGAGAATGATAGGACCCGTGCTCGTCATCAGCCCCCGTACGTTTTCTTCAGTTACTTGATGAAAATGTTTTTGTTCGCCGGGAGCCTGGGGCAGTTGCATTGTATATAATCACTTAACAGTGAACGAAAGCAAATGAATGATCAGCAATGAACTTGAAAACTTCCAGGCTAAACTTCTGTAAGCTGACTGTGCGCGCACCTTTTCATTTATTTTCATTCCTACGTGGCCAACCAGTTAGCTGCAAGCAATTTATTTATTTTTGAGACGTTTCAAAGTTTTTCGGTAATTTTCTGCTAGTATCTAGTGTTGGCTGTACGCATCCTCGTCACGCATAACTTAACGGGATTTGCGCGTGCACATCAGTTTATAGTAATCGCAACTTTTTCTTTACAGAGGAAACTGGATATGCAGCGGCATGTCTACTTATAATTTATTTTTTAATCAAGTCATAGTTTTCTTTTCCGTGAAAAATCAAAAGAATCCTTTACAGTGACACGGTACACTGGGAATGAGACTGAGAAGCTATCGTCATGGCTACATGACATCACAATGGATAAACAGAAGATTTTCATTCCTCTGAAACGCATGTGATCGTTTTGAACACAAGGAAGCAATCATGAGTTTTTTGAAGAAAATGCGTAGAAAAGGTCGAAGTAAAAACCATCAAGAATTACACTTGAGAGCTTCGGTTCCTTCGACTTTGGAATGTGCCAAAGACAAATGGTAAGTGGAGAAAAAAAGAGAAGAAAGTCATCGGAAAAGATAACCAGTTAATGAATACATTATAGATTTAGGTGAAAGTTTTCACCATCTGCGCTATTAGTATGGCGAAACAAAAAAGCAACCGTTGCAAATGCCTGAAAACACGGTGGCAAAAAAAGATTCGAACGATTTGTTTTTAAGTTTGAGAAAAAAATAAATAAATAACTCCAAACAATTTACAACTTAATCAGCGCTTCTTTAGTTTTATCGACCCGTGCTAAATCTCGGTTTTAAGAGGCCAATGAATTGTGTTTTTATTGGAAATCGGGGAAACATGACAGCGATTCAGATTCAGAAAAATTAAGCTGCAAATCTCGGATAAACTGAGTTGAAAATAACAGGAACCCAAATTTTCGAAACTTTATTTACGAAATATGAACAAAAATATTTCATCACTTCTCAAGGAAAACTTACATATGGAGTAAGTTCATAAAAACTGAATCAAAGTACAACCACTTGTTCTTTTATAGTATTTAGGGAACATTGTTTGATTACTTGAATTCACCGTACCCTTGTGATTATCTTGCAGTCTCTGGAACAAGAAAGATACCTTCAGGGAAGAAAGTAGACGACTGTCGCGTCCAAGATCTTTACAGAGCTTCCGGAAGGAAAAGCGCGATGGTGAAGTTACCAGTGGTGCTGTCTGTTCCAAGGTGGCCACCGGACGTTGATGGTGACCATGAGAAAAAGAAGGAAGCGAAAGCTGGTGTCGTGTCGAGGCCGCAAAAAAAACAAGATCAGGACCAACAAAGGTCAACAGGAAAGCTCCACCTCCACCACTGCCTCTTTCTGACAAGCCTTCCATTTCTCTCACCAGGCCATCCCAATCTGGTCTACGTAGTCCTATTCCAGTCCGTCCAGCTCCACCGGTACCTCCATAGCATCAACCATGAGCTCACAGGGCGGCTCCACCTCGCCCCCTTCCAAAGAATATGAAGCAGCATGGAAAAAAGAGTGATACGACTAGTGTTAATAAGAAGGAAAACGAGATATGCCAATATCCAAAGGATCTAAACCCGTTTGCAAATTCCAACGGTACCACCGATAATGACTGCCCGTTGCAGAACGGCGAGAAGGCCTCCAGTGTTCGTCGCCAAAGGCATAAAAGAAGACGGAAGAACTCTAAAAGTGGAGAATACCCGATGGGAAACAAGTCATTTAATGATACTGATGAGATGAGCGAGACACCCTTCAGTACTAGTGGTCAAAGGCGTAAAAAAACGGAAAGAATCCAAAACTGAAGCATACAAAATGGAAGACAATTCATCCAGTGATGCTGATAGCATGCGCAACAAGCCCTCCGATACTTGTGGTCAAAGGCATAAAACAAAACGGAAAGAATCGAAAAATGAAGAATACCAAGAAGAACGCAGTCTATCCAATGATACCGATGAGGAAAATAGTTCTTCATTTTCAGAGTTGACCAATACTTCTGACATGTGGTCTGTTTCTTCATTGGAAGATATTCAGTTTTTGAACACAGCTGCAGTAGAAGACGTAAACGTAAATACTGCATTGCAGGGCTTGGCTACCAACAATGAAAAGGACAAACGAGTTGAAGGAGCAGATTCTGGTGACTTTAAGGCCCAGTCATTTCCTTCTGGTAAAGAGGTCTCTCCTAACGATGTCCTTTCCGCAAACAAGGACAATGATTGTGCAAGTATCGGATTAGCAAACCTTAGTGCTTTGACTGCTAAAGATTTTACAGATGTTGACGAAAGAAAAATTCTCAAGGAAGCAAAACCTTCCGAGGAAGCAAATGTTATGGAAGAGTGCTAGGGTAGAGACAGCTGTGGTAAGTTGTTTGGATACCATACCACAGAAAAGGTCATAATGAGCGGAAATTAACGTAGAGCAGTGCATCTTTATCCACCGAACCGGTGTAAAGAGTCATTAGAAACATTTCCAACTGCGAGCAAGTAAACCTTTACTCATTTTTGACTGTTGTTGGTACTTTGATTGCTCTGAACCAAATAGATTTAATTGGTTCAATATCAACTTCATCAGAATGTGTATATATTAGCCTTCTCTTTTCATTATTTAAGCACGTGAATTTTCAGAAATCTTGTGTAGCCTGCACTACAAGCATTCAGTGCCCAGAGTTGGCCATTTATGTGGAGACAGATATTAAGGTCGTCGAACACGAGTTGCTTTCTTTGCACGAGGTGATGTTTAAATTGAAATTAGAGATGAAAGAAGCAATGGACACTGAAGGTTAGTTTCTACTTTTTTATCTTTGCGTGAGCCAACATATAAAAACGAACTTATTTGCAACTGTTCAACTTCGTCATATAGCAGCCGAACTATCCCCCTAGTTGACAGGAATCTTTCGGGATTCAAAGTACGTAGTTTCCCTCACGCAACGCTAAAGGAAAGCAGTTTCTCTCCTAGGAAGAGGTTAAGTCTGGAAACAATTATACGGGTATACCGTCGCGCCAAATAGAGGGTGATGCATATGTAATTAACTAAACACAAAAGAAATGCAGCCTTCTTTAATTTACCCCTTTTAGATTGTGAGGCAGAGTTTGAAAGCTTATCACTTGACTGGTTCGCGCTAATGTTAGATCAGTGTGATTTAGTAATTTACGTATATTTAGCCTGTATTCCTACTATTTGAATTTTTGAAGTCCCACGTTATTTTTAGGTTTAAGCTATCGGCACTAGACAGGAGTGTCAAAACGTTGGATCTATGAACTGTAACTTCTTCGGTTACATTCATTTTATCTGTAAACCAAAGTAGCATCAAACCATGTCTATGGTCAATGCGTGAAGAGAGAAAGAAAAGGAGGAGAAGTCTGGGAACGACGCTTTTTACTGCCACGCCTAGTATTTATAATTCCGTGATAAATAGCTCGTGCAGTAAACAGATGCCTGGAAGACCAATTTCATCTGGCTGTCAGTAGTAAATTTCTAAATGGACATGATCTATCATTTTCGGTTGTCACGGGGTAATTAACTTTTCTTAGAGTGAATGACATATGCTTTTTTCTCTCAATATCTCTAACAAAAATAAAGAGAATAAGTTTCTGAAGAAACTGTAGTGCTGCGTCGGTTGGAGAGTATAACAGGGTAATTTCGTGTTACCAACTGAGTTGATAACGTAAATTGGCCACTGTAAAGATTTTAAAAGCTGACGTTTCGAGCGTTAGCCCTTGCTTCGAGCAAATGCAGATGCTTCGTCAGAGCGAATGCAGCACCTTGGTAACTTGTCACTAGCCGATCAACCGCATTCACCCTGACAAGGGGCTAACGCTCAAAACTTCAACTAGGAAACTCTTTACGGCGGCAAATTTAAATTATCAACTTGTTTGATATTACTAAATTACCCTATTTTACAAGAAAACGAACCACGTGTTGAGAGGCAACAGACGTATTTTTATTATCACAAAAAGGTTAGACGGTATAAGGCTGTGCCTCATAAAAGAAAAAAATTAAGTTCACGTCGATCCTTATTCCCTTGATTCGACATTCAGTGCGCTCAGTCTTTTCTGAAGCAGCCTGATCGTATGGCATATATCGGGAGGGAAGATGATAAGAAGCAAGAATTTTTATTAAGATAATAAAAAAAAACAAGGAAAATTTGTTATTTAAATTGGTATTTCACATATAACTAAAAAATAATGGTTTTTTTTGTACTTCAATGTTGTCAATTAGTTATAATTTATGAGTGATGTTGACATTAAACATGGTAGTGTGGTAGATTTCTCAAATTTAAGGAGTATGGCGCTTTACCTCAAAGTATTCGACGAAGCAGAAATGATCAGAAATGATCAGCTTGAACGACCCTAATAACATTTTGAGGCATTGCGTGAGTACCGCACTGAAAATTTTTTTTTTCATTTATTCTGACTGACAGAATTTTTACGGTAAGGTCAGCTCACCGGATTTACTTTGACATTCGTTTGAACTAATTTTTCCATATATATGTTTTTACTTAGAAAAACAGTTGAATGTTCCGCATAGCTTAATTAAGCATTACCAGGCAATTGTTTAGAAGCTTATTGCAATTGCTTACCGTAAAATAACTATGATATTTACCTGAATATACTAACCAGGACTTTTTGAGACTCGAAAGTTTTGATTTTATCATGAACACTTCAGCTCTCCCTAATCGTGTTGGTAAAACTATCTGAGAACCAACCAGTTTCCAGTATCTTGTGGATTACGCTGAAATTGATACAGACGGCAAACTACTTTCCACGATCTCACACTGGTGGGATTCTACCGCGCGGATCACAAAACATGGTTTGGTGTGGGACTTACTTTTGTGTTGTTGCCATACTTGGCGTTTCCAGCATTGTTTTTCTCGTCCGTGCCCGATTTATTCATTCATTTTCAAAACGGGTACTGAAAACTGCTCTTTGTGCATTGCATCCATTTTCAGCAGCCCACGCGAGACTTGAAGCTTTTCTTTTTTGTCTCAAGAAATGGTGCTCTGGAGATGAAATAGACATAGAGGCTGAGGAAGTACTTGATCACATTGACTTTGCTGTGCTCTTCGAGGCAGTCCTTGAGTCCGCTCCACAATTTATAATGCAGTTGTACGCCATCAGTGTTCAGGAGGAACCAGCTGCAATTATCCAAATCATTTCTCTACCGATCTCTTTCCTCACTCTGGCATGGGCCTTCACAGCCACTGATAAAAGGTCTCTTGCCGGGCGTAAATTAATACCAAGTAGTAGTGACCTGAATGTTAAACATTAACTAGTATTGTATGTAACTCACTTTATAATCCTGAGCAGTCGACTGTTTGTCATCTGTTATTTCAACGTCAGCTACAAGTGGTGGGTTGTTGCTTTGTTAATGTTTCATTCTTGTGTGGTACTAATAACGACTTTTATTCAGAATAGAGACAAAGTTGACTGAGATAGTTACTGCAATTTCTCAACTATATTGTTTATAGGCATTCACTGTCTAAGATATGACTTTGTAGAATTATCGATAAATGTAGAAGTAATTGGTATAACCATGAGTGTGTATTTCTCACAGATATTTGTTTCTATTAGAAAACCTCTTTATGATCTTCATGTTTTATTTCACTTATCACCCCAACGCTTGGTACTCTTTACCTGTCACTGTGTGTGTTTGTGTGTTAAGCGTTCTTGGCTTCACAATGAGAATTTGCCTACTTCGTTGGCTAATAAGAATGAAATTGTCCATATCATACAAAGAAACACATTGATTTAAGTTTAGCCCGACACTTCAAGGTGTCTAACTTCTTGCGGAATTTAATTTGCGTCTAAAGCTGTGATCAAGTTGATGAGTGAAGGCTATTGATTTGATTCGTTGGGAATAATAATGAAACCGCAGCTATTTGCTGCACTTAAATAGACGTTAAACAACTTAGTTTGAAATTTTCTAAGAATATTGGTTGAGGAATTCAAGATTCTGATTGATGCGGTAAATTTCTGTCATCTCTCGACGCATGCCTGCCGATAGAAAATTTAAAAGCATGCGTTACGAGGTTCGTCATCAGTCAGTCGACCAGAGTTACTCAGAATAATTATGAGTCTGTTACGACCATTAAATGTCGGGGGGAAACTCGCTATCGAACACACATCGCCCGGCGAAAGGCACCAATACTCTCGAAATGTAGCTTTCTGCTTTCTTTAATTACTGGGTTCACCAGTACACAATTCCAATTACATCCAAGCTTCTTTCATTCTGTTGGACTCTCTGTTGGATTTTCTTAGGCTCTCACACTTTTATTCTGAATAATTCTTCTCCAACAGCGGAATTCTTACTCAACTGCACACTGTCTTCTCCCCTCTCTCTTCTCTCAAGTTTCTTCTAAGTTAACTCTGTAACATGTTTATATATTCACTACTAACAGATACGAGTGGGTATGCCAGCTGACTAACCTTGGGAGATCAAAGATTTGTTGTTAGAGCGTTAAACCGAACAATTTCACGAGATTTTTGATATGAACAACAAAGAACTTAATCATAATGCTTCCGATAAACTGAGTGAACCTCTGACTGCGTTAGTCAAAACAAGAACTTTCGCGTTGGTCCAAAGCAAGTCAGTAAACAAACTAAGCACGTCTACTTGAGGAAGTTAGAAAAGGCTGTCACAATTCGGAAAATCATCACGACAGCTCAAACCTGAATAAATTAGGATTTCGAATTCATGCATTAAATGCTTTGTAAATGAAAACGAAAAACTACATCATACTGAACGGGTATATTAAATGCTTCATAACAAGTCGATCGGATTCGGTTAATCAATAAGAACAACAAGAGAAGGTTGAAAAGAACAGAAGTATGTGAAGTCATTTTGTTGTAACTAAGATTGTATTAGAGAAAAAGAGGTTAAAAAGACCACAAAAGGATAAGTCGAGAGTTCTTGATGCTTTTTTTTTTAGTTTCGAAGTTGCGACTATCTTGTTTAACTTAAACACAACAAGCTGCGAGTAATGAATGGTTGTTATAGAGTGGTTTGCAGATACTTATTAAAATAGTCGATTTCAGCTTGGAGTGAGTGGTTTAGAAGTTTGATACTTTCAACGAGTTTAGATTTATGAATTAGAGAATTTGACAGATGTTGATCTAGAATTCGACTCTCTCAAACTAACAAAGGTGTTGATTTGCATTTGGAGCGGCACTTCAGTGTGTAGAGCTTCTCGCAGTATTTAATTTGCATATAAAGCTGTGTACAAGTTGATGGTCTGTAAAGCAAGAATCAGAATAAAAGTTATCTATACTTCACAAGAAAAGAAATCCATTCATTGAGTACTGAGAATGTCTCAAGATCATGTTGTTTCAAAATCTGTAAATGGGAATAACTGAAGGTTACTGATTCGACTCGGATCAGTGTGGCTACTGATATAGCTCAATTTTTATGGCATGGAAAAGAACTAGAATTTTTCTAATGACGCTAGATGGTATTGTTGAAGTATATTTGTGTCACATTCAAAGCAGAAAACCTTCCACATCCCATATATACATAAGTGGCCTGTTCCACGAGACAACGATGATCCAAGATAGTGACTAATAGACATGTAACCAATAATTAAATGGTTCAAATCCGCTCTGACCGGTTCATTAGCCGCAAATAGAGTGATGTGAGTGCTTAACCGGATTTAAAGCTATAAATCGGAATAATAAAGTATATTTCTAAATCTAGGCTCTTTTTGATTATCAAAAACAAACGCAAAAACGGCGAGGATTTCGATAAACACCCATCAAATAGAAATACTTTATTTGTAACATTTATTGTAGAAGGAATGAGATAAACACGTAGCCTGGTAACGAGCAGTGAATACTGGATGAATGAAATAGAGTACTACATACTTACTTGATAGAAAACTCAATTATTGCTTCGAGTGAGTGGTTTAGAGGTCTTGCATTTAACCGACACTTGAAGATCTGCAACTTCACACGGTATATGATATTGAACTAAAACTGTGTACAAGTTTTATAAAATAAAGAATTAGAATAAAGTTATCTATTTCTTAAAGAAAGAGGACGCTTCTTGAGTATTGATAATGTAACGAGATTATCTTGCTTCACTGATCTGTAAATGGTAATAACTAAAGGTTATCAAACTGAATCGTTGAGAATAATAACAAAAGCATAGTTATTTTAAGAAAGTTATTAACTGCCTTTGAATAAATATATCTTAATAGATGTTTCGGTGTGTAGTATCGCTGAGTATTTTTACGAGTCAAAATACAAACAACCACAGGTGGCCCAAACTCCAGCTGTGAGATGATTATCTTGCGAAATGAGTCATGACGAAATTATAGGAGTTTGTGTGGGAAAATTTACCACCGCTCTTAGGAATAAAATCAAATTCTCGATTAAAAACCTCATCTTACTTCCTCAGTGCATTGCTTATTGTTTGACCGCTTACTATGTTGAAAAGAACTCATTTCAGCGAGTAATCCATTTCTGGGTTTACTACATAAGAGAAGCTTCTTGGTTTAAGAATTTAAGATTCTGATTGATGCGGCACATTTCATCCATCTGTCGACGCATGCTTACCGATAGTAAATATAGAAGCATGCATTATAAGGTTCGTTATCAGTCAGTCGACCGGAGTTACTCAGAACAATAGTCAAGCTCTCCAAGTTTGCGTCACAAAGAACATCCGGAGAATCGTTTATTTTCCTCTAAAATTAATACAGACGTGCAGCACACCTCCTTCCGTGACCTTAAGAGGGAGATCAGATTAGCTAAAGGAAACTTTGCAGTTTTTCAGTCGAAGCTGACTTACTAAGCGAGCTAACGAAAGGTCAGTCGAGATGTTAGTGAAAGAACTTAAGTGGTACAGTCTCTTCGTGTTCTTTGTTGGAGTTATTTTAAGTTTTACCGATCACGTAACCGACATACTCACACTGGCGCAATTCTACTGCGCGAATCACACTTTAAAACACGGTTTGGTGTGGGGCTTACTTTTGTTTCATTGCCATGTTTTGTGTTTCTAGTATTGTTCGTCCGGTTGCGTGCCCAATTAATTGCTTCACCTTCTAATTTGGCAATGAAAACTGATTTTTGTGCATTACGTCCATTTTCAGTAGCCTTTAAGAGACTCGAAGTTTTTCTTTTCTTTCTCAAGAAATTGTTGTTTAAAGGTGAAGTCGACCGGGTCAGCTATGAAAAAGCTGAAGATGTATTCACTCACATTGAGTTTGCTGTGCTCGTTGAGACAGTCCTTAAATCCACTCCACAATTTATAATTCAGTTGTACGCCATGGTAAGATATCTCTCCTTTCATGTTACACGGGGGATCCTCGTCAATCCCGTCTTTTGCAGTCATCAACCGCACCATAATTGACCACTTTGACAAGTAATTTGAGAGATTCGACAGTCAACTAAGCGGGTCCTGGATAGAGTTAATGACGTGATCAGCACAATACAGAGTGTCAGCGAAACGTCTTTGACAGAGTATCTTGCCTATGCCGCATGTGCACTGTCCGTCATTAACCTCGTTGTGTTTTGTGTTGCTTTCCCCTGTGTCTTCAGGATGTTTCGTCATCAATCGAAACACAAGCTTTCTTTTCCACCCAACTCTACGAAAATCGAAGTACCTCACTGCGACAAACATGCAACCAATAATTAAATGGTAACAAATAATGATATTAACAATGACTATAATAATGATAACCATAGTAATAGTAATGATAACTTAAAGGGGCTAGCTCAAGAACTTCACTGTTCCTGTATCCTCAAAGCACCTGCTTCTTCTAATGAAAAACTTTTGTTTCATACAACAAGACATTCCGCGTTTAAAGATATTCTGAAATTTCCCAATTTCGCCATTCTTCCCTTCTATCATATTGTCAAATAATAGGAAAAGGAGGGAAAGTCTGGAAACGAAGCTTTTTGCCGCCGAGTCTAACGTTTGAATCACGTGATAAATGATTCGTACACGAAACTGATGCCTGGAAGATCGATTTCGCCTAGTTGTCAGTAGCAAATTTCCAAATCGGAGATTGTCTATCTTTCTCGGCTGTCACGGGGTAAATAACTTTCTTAGAGTGTTTGAGATATGCGTTTTTCCCACAATCCCTTTTACAAGAAGACGGACTAAGGACTAAAAAGTAACAGTCTCATTGTATTACTTCAACAAAAAGGTTGGACGGTACACGGCTGTTGGGCAAATTTTCCCTTTGTTTTCATTTTCTCACTTACTTGTCATTGTGTACTTTTTTTTGCTCTTCGGTATTTTGTTAATTACGCTACTTTTCTTTTTATTTCGTTCTGCGGTGGCCTTTAGGTAGTTTGTCTGTCTTGTAATTATTATTTTTTCGCTCTTGTAGGAATTTACTTTTTTTTAACATTATATTAAAATATTTCCTGGGGCATCGTGTTGTGTTTTTTTCCGAATTGGCTCTTGCCTGTTCAATGGCTGTACCTCGAACAAGAAAAAAAGAAGTTTACGTCCAGTCTCAGCCCATTAATTCAACATTCAGTTGGCATTAGTCGAGAGGGAAGAGAATAACAGGCAAGAATCTGTAAATGGGAATAACTGAAGGTTACTGATCCGAATCGTTAAACATACAGTCTAACACTGCATGTGGCTACTGATATAGCTCAATTTTTGTAGTATCGAAGAGAACTGGAAGTTGTCTAAAGACGATAGATGGTAGTGTTGAAGAATATTTGTCTCACATTCTACGCATAAAACCTGCCGCATCGCAAAAATACACATATTGATGAGTGGCCTATTGCACAAGAGAAAGATAATCCAAGAATATAGTGTCTACTTGACACGCAACCAATAATTAAATGATAACAAATAATCATATTAATAAAGACATAACAATGATAACCATAATAATAGCGGTAATGATAATTTACAGGGGTTAGCTCAAGAACTTTACTAATCCTCTATCTTCAAAACTCCAATAATAATTATTTAATTTCGGCTTTTAATTATAAATTATTTTCTTACTGCTCGGTCTTTCCAAAGGAGACGCCCGAGTTGAGTTTTTGAGGTCCCATGTTATTTAGGTTTTTAAACCTAAATAAAAAAGCTGTCGAGACAAGTTTTCTTGTTTAACTTCCATTACTGGACGTGCTTAGAGTGTCTACTGATCTTGCCTCGGACTTTCACGCAAGTTTTTGTTTTGGCTTACGTAGTCATGATCAAGGATTGATTCATTTCATCAGAAGCATTAAGTACGTTATTGCTCAGTTGAGATTCCGTCGTAAAATTGTTTTCTAATAACAGAAACTGTCTAATCTTGCAAAGTTAGTTAGCCAGCATGCCTACTCAGGCGTGCTGATATCGAATATACAAGCACGCACTTTCGAGTTTACTTAGCAGATATTGGCATTGAGTAATAAATAATAGTTAGTAGGAAATAGATGAATGAGAATCAAAGTTTGAGCATCAAAAAGACATTCATCAGAATTTGAGTCAGACGCGATTAGTTCTAAAGCTATGAAGTATCACAACTATTTTATTAGATCTTCAGGTATCTTTAGCAGGATCGCATTTTCACTTATTTTCATACACTGGTAGGAAGACGCCATGCCGGCGGGCACATAAGATGTGACAGATACTTTCAAATTCATATAACAGAAACTGTAGAGGAAATAAAATAAACACATAACAAGCAGCGAGTATTGGATGAATAGAATGGAATAGCACATAATTATCAAAATACTGGATTTAAGCTTCGAGTTAGTGGTTTAGAAGTTTTACACAAATAGTTTATGTTTATAAATGTACGATTTTGAGGGATGAGTTGTTTTGAAAGAAAGATGTCGATTTGCGTTCTTCAACTTCGAGGTGTGGAACTTCCCTCAGTAAATAAAACTTATCTAAAGCTGTGTAAAAGTTGATATTTTGTAAAATCAGAATTATAATAAAAGTTATCCAAATAGTCACTCAAAAAACTGAGGGGTACTTATGCTTTATCAACTGAAGTTTTATTTGCAAACAAACAGATTTAAAATGTTTTTCTTTCCTTAAATATTTGAATACTGCTACAACACAATTCAATCAAATCAGGAAGAAGACAAGTGCCCCAAAAAATAGAAAGGGACTCAAATCAAACTTTGCATGCGACTCTCGCCTTGTGCGGCGAACTTAAAGCTACTATTGGTCAGTTTCTTGCCTTAGTTTTTCAACAAAGTTAGTTTGGCCGGCGCAGAAATGGAGTGATTCATAATATCTGTGGGCTTTTTTTTTATCTCCTTTATATTTGGCTGGATTTTGTCACATTTGACGATCTAACTGTGTTAATTACACGGAAAGAAGCTGATGTTACTAAGACTGCCTAATGTATAAGTCTGTCTTTTCAATAATTTAAATTTCGGGGGTATTACAATCCACAAGAACATTCGCAGCTCATCTGAAAGTTTCAGTTTACACCCTTAAAAGAAAAAACAATTCTGGTGTCGCTCGAGCTTGTTAAAATCCCCATAGATGTAACTTCTTAACAGCAGACAAGCATTGGATATCAAAAGTTCTTGTCTAGTGCAATGACAACAGATTTCACTCCAGTCCTCCATGAAAGTAAGCTAAAGGTCAACTTGAAACCCTAATGAAGAATTATCAAAACACCAACTCACCTCTCGTTGTTTAGTTTGTATTTCTGTCTTTAATTATATTTTTTAGGGCGGTCTAAGGTGGGTTGGGGAAAAAAGTTAAAACTATTGTGGCTAGGATTGTTGCTTGTTCAGTATTGTAAACACACCTCACATCTCTTCGTATACTGCAAGAATTTGATTTGTTCAAACGAGAGGGTCAGATCGGAAGGGGGAGAGGCAAGGGGGAGGGTGTACTGTTGTACACCTTTTTTCAGCGAAAGTGTCAGCCTTGTATCAGTTGACTGTTAAATTTTTCCTTCAGAAATAAATAAGAAGAAAACTCAAAAACTACAATTGCCTAAATCGTTATGAATCGACTTAAAAGCCACAGCGGAGACACAGAGGTGCAGGAGTGAGGAAATGTAAAGAGGCGGACATTTTGTTTCCTAAATGAAACTGTTTTCCTTATTTAGCTACTTCGATTTCAACTGTTATGGAGAAACTCAAATTATTTCAACCAGCCTCAATCAATGCATTGCACTGAGCGCGCGCGACATGAATTCGAAGCAATCATTCTCATGGTAACATTACATCACAATGAACGAAACAGAAATCCTTGGAGTTCGTCTGAGAGATTTTGTGAGAAGCAGCAATGGCTTGTGTTCTCATACCGTTCCGTCGGCAAAAAGCAAGAGCAGATAATTTTTTGATCACAGCATCTGCTTCACTATTGAAAATTGAATTATGCAAGAAAAGGTGGTAAGGGACACGATATAGTATTTTCTTTCTCTCTTTTCTATCAAAAGTGTAGTCTTCGAAGCTGCTTGTCTCACTAGAGTCAACCTTTTTTTTCACTATTCTCACTAGAAAATGATCAAAAGTTAAACTGTGACGAAGCATACAATTTCGAAAACAATTTAATTTCACTTTGAGAAAAAAATTTGTTGGAGTTCGATTTCACTGTTGAATACTGCGTGAGACTAGAGCAACAGAAACGAAGGATCATTCCCCAAACTGAATATTGTTTGCCCTTTGAAGTTGCAAGACTCGGTGAAAAACAAGTACTAAGCTAATTCGTATTTTTCACGGCAGTGCTGCGAGAGAAGGTTTTTGATAACGGTCAATAGTTGACAGCGAGGGGGAGGGAGGGGTAAATTTTACTAGTTACCAGTCTTGGTAGAAAGACGTCATGGCGGCCGCCTTGAACATACGACGTACTCCTTTGCCTTCTGTCGTATTCCAAAATGACAAAAGATGTATGTGCATTTCGGCCCTTGAATTGTAAAACCGTCATGTAATCGCTTCTACAAAAAGGGAATCCGCACTTAACAGAAGTATGGTTGATTATGGCAACTTTTTTACGTTATGCTGATATTCGTATTTTGTTCACCAATTAGGTATCCCCACAAGCTTGCAGTTTTTTGGAAAGAACGAAAAGCGAAATACAGCACAAAGGTAGTCAGTGTAGACTTTGGATCGCTGTTCTTTCTCCCTTAGCTCATTAAACTTTATTGATTTTTTTAATCGTCAGTTTGAGTTAAAGAAATATTTCTTCCGATTACTTTTGCTCTCAGCATGTAGCATGGTTTGGAGCTGTTGAAAACGGTTATCGTGGTGTTCATTTTTGGCCTGAGCCTGATCTAGTAGACAGCAAACTTACTCTATTCAAGGTAAGTTTTAAACAAAGGTAACATGAGGTACAAATTTGGGGACAGATTTCCAAAAGACTTTCTTTTTTCGTAATTGTTTTATTTATCCAATATCTCTATGCATAATAAAGTATGGGGCAGTGCGGAAATCTTGGCCAACTCTGTTGAAACCATATTTTTTGTAAACACGTTACACCCACTCCCTGAAGCCTTCCTTGCTTTTTTCTTAGGCTTGTTCCTTCCTCCTATTCAGTGTGCGTTACATTTTAAGAAATTTTGAAATGAAAGCAGTCCATCTTTCGTTGATAAGATTTTTAAAGTTACAAGGTTTCATCGCTTAGCCTCTTGTGTTGGATTTACTATGTAATTTCATGTTGAGTTATTGATGTTAAATCTATTAATTTTCATTGTAAACGTTTAAAGCACAACAGCTGAAACGAAAAAAAAAAACATTGTGAAATGCTATTGAATCTACAAAACGTTTGAAGAGAGATGCCAAATACCATTCTATGAACTTTATTTCACAATAAGACTCCCTGGAGGTTAAAAAACACTACACAGGCAAATTTAATAAGGAACTTAACCAGTCAGGACAGTGATGCCAAGGAAGACAATTAATTACAAAAATAATTTTTTGTTTTAAGTTGCAATTTTCTAATTGGCTGCATGAATGTTATTACTGTCTCTAACAGTGCCACATCTCAACCTCAGTATAATGTGTGTGAGTGGCATTGAGTTCCATCTTGAAACTGAAGTAATTTTCTGTTAGTGTTCCCGTATACCGACCATGCTAAATTTGATTCCTTGTTGTTTGGCCAAGGACAGCCTAAACATAAACAAAGTTCTAAATGCTAGTGCTTAGCTATTGTTCTACTCATTTGATCTTTTGTTTTGCCACACCTTCATTTCCATTTCTGTCATGGTTTGCTTAAGGTCCCTAATATTGTTGTTATCAAGTTTTTTCTTTACTTTAAAACAATATTTAACTCTAATTTATAGAACCCAGAGGATGAAATGACAGAATATCAAGAAAAGCAGTGGAATATTTTCATCTGTAATGTAAGCTTTTCCCTTTTCAATTTAACACGAGTGTGTAGTTGCTCTTTGCCTTTGATATTACACTCACTCCACACAGTTTGGAGTAAATCTGAACACTGTTCATCTTATATCTTTGAAATCATTAGGTGTCCCCTAGTGGTCGTCACCAGCTTCTGGCCACTGGCTGTATTGATATTAGCAATTACATCACAGAGAAGCCTGGAAAATTGGATGTTACAGTCACCCTTAAGCCAGCAATCAAGAAAGTTGTGTCTGGTGAAATTAAATTTGAATTATCATGGGTTATGCAGGAAGATGACAGAGTCATTCAGTGAGTATTCCTCAGTAATTTCCGTAGCTAGTTCCTGTAATGATGATCTAGCTTATGTGTGGCATTTAAAAGTCAACTACTCTATCATAATGTTATATTTTAGATCAATGAACTTGATCAATAAATTTCAAAATGAGATATTATCATTTTTGCTGCATGAATAAAAGGGTTGACTACAATCTGAATTTTATTTTGTCAATGGTTTTTATTCATTCAATAATTCTTTGTTTTTGCTAAAAGTAATTGTACTGTGAAATTCCATGAACCCTTTAGCTGTTGAATATGCTTGATATTTGTATTACCTTTACAGTCCCACAGATGAAGAGATATGGGAAGAGATAATGCAGGAAGTCAGAGAGGAACAAACAAGAAGAAAAGCTGAGGGAAAGACAGCCAAGTATAAATCTTTGAAAAAAAGAAGGAGCAGGAAATTCGGTTGCTCAAGTGATACAGACATTGCTGCTAAGGAAGACAAAAAGAAAGCTGAAAACAATGAAGTTGGCTGCCCAATTGGGACAAACATTGCTGCTGAGGAAGATATAAAAAAAAATGAACAGCACGGTGGCATCTTCCCAAATGACAAATCCCAGGTGGATTCCTCATCCGGCAGCAATACCAAAGTGAGGTCAGGAAAAGTCAGGAGGCAGTCTTCATGTCATCATGCTCCTCTTAGCCCTACTCCACCCCAACCACACCCATCTGCTAACCAGGGGATGCCATCAGAGAGTGAAGAGAAAAAAGCGGTGCAGAGTAAAAGGAACCTTCATAAAACTGTCAGGTTTCAAATTGATGAACAGCCTGAGGTATTACATCCTGTTGGAGATGATGAAGAAGCACTGGACTCCTTTTCTGTGTTGTCCTCAGAAAGTGTCTACAGGGAAACAGTTTTCATTGAGAAAGATGAAGTAGCAACAAAAGAGAAGTGCATTGCCAAGAGAGATGAAAATTCATGTAAGTTCTGTTTTGTTTTTCAGCCTCCCATGCCAAAGGGACAGGGGATAAATTTGTTCATTTTTTTCTGTTTAATCTGATTTATTTTCAATCAAACAATTATACTGAGACTCCTTAAAACCCTTAGTTATATGCACTGAGTAAAAATCATAACTTTACTTTGCTTTATTCTGAATTATAACTATTTTTATTGACAAGTGATGGTAACTTTTTTGTTCAGCCTCAAGTGTTTGCCAGCTTCACTCAAAGTTGGCCAGTTATGTTGAAGAGGAACTGAAGCTTGTTCAAGATGAATTATTGTCTTCAGAAGAAGTCTGTTCAAAAGTAAAACTTGAAATGCAGAAAGCTATGTCATCAGGTTGGTGATCCATTTAGAACTGAGGCAATCATTGTTAATATGATGAAGCGAAATGCCTTGGAATTTCAAATATCAAATAATACAATTAATATGTTGCATTCCCATGTTGAGTCATTTTAGAGCATGCATTCCTTCATGAAAAAAAAAGTTAGAGTTCTTTCCTCCACTTATGAGCTATAATCCTTTTACTCCAGGATTTTATTAGTGATTCCCCTTACTGTCTGCAGAACAATTCTTATGATGTTAGATCAGAGAATTTGGTATTGGATGGACTAATAATCTCCTGCTTATACTGTTTTAGTATTGTAAGGAGAAATTCTGTCTTGGTCACTCACAGACCAAAAATAAAGGTAATCCCTTAACTAGAGCTACTGCAAGTTTTGGACTTATTTCAGGTGTAATAAGCCATGCTTAACTTACACAGCTTACACAATGTATTTGTTTACTTTTTGTCTGTAGGCCACAAAGAAGAGTTTGAAAGCTTAAACCAAGGCTGGCTTATATTGGATAGCTTCCATTCCAAAGTGATGAAAAGAAAAGACGACCTTTTTGCCCTGTAAGTAATAAAGACTTATTTTTGAAATGAAATAAATTTTACCATTATGACTTAAAATGTGGTCTTACATTGTAATCCATGATCCAAAAACTCTGCATAAGTGCCTATATATGTTTACCTACTGTCTTTGGCAACTAGAATACTTCATCATAACCTTACCTAGAGATAATTAGAGTAATAACTAGAGTAAATTAAAAAGATTTACAAAGATAAATCTGCAGCAAACTTCCTTGTTAAGTTTGTTGCAAAAGGCAGCACATGCATCTTGATTGATGACTAGATGCCACCTTGGATTTAGGTGAGCTTGAGGTTTGTATATCATCCATCCTAGTGTCCACTTTGTAGCACGTTAAATTAAAGATCTTTTTCCAAGCCTAATTTTGGAGGGTTTATCTAGAATGCTGACAATGTAAAAAAAGTTTTGTTTGTCTTTAAAAATGGCGACCAACTTTTTTTGAATTGGCTATCACTTTCAAAAATTTAGGGGGCCAAGTGGCTATCAGAAACACCCTCTGTATTGCCCAATTAGTTCCTCTGGATATATTTATTATTGTTGGTAATAAAAAATGTGAGCAATGGAAGGAAAAATTTTTGATTTACTGATCAAGCAGTTCCACTATTTGTCCTAATTTTTTCTTTTGGTTTTTTCACAGACTGTAGTGGTTCTGCTTAACCAAAGGTTGTATTTAGCTTCAAGTAGATTTGCATTAATTTCTGTTTTCCTCTTGCCAATGTAGTCACAAAGGAGAAAACATTGAAGATTGTCTTAACTTGCTGTGTTCAGATTTGAGATGCCTTTCAGAAGTGGAAGGTAAGTATTCAGTTGTTTCTTCTCCTTTTTCTCAGTTAAGTGTTATTGGGACTGGTTTAGTGAGCCTTGATTCTTAACCCTTTACACCCTAACATCATTCTGTGTATATATATACTCCAAACTGTTCTCTTTACATTTCCTAAGGTGCTGACAAGGTGAAAATGTTTAACAACCTTGAGTTTCTTTAGATAGTGATCAATTCCTTTATCCTTGTCACATTTTTAAGGAGAAATTAGATGCTAATCTCTTTGGGGTCAAAGGCATCAGCTAATATGTAGAGGAAGGAAACAAGATTTGTATTTTTAATCATAGGGTGGAGGAAAACAGATCAGAACAGAGCTCAAGAAAAAAGAGTTGCTGGACTCATTGATGCAATTTGCCAGCAGAGCCTTGATGCCTAAATAATGGTAAGAAACAGTAATCTTAACTGAGATGAAATGCAAGGCTCTAGCACTTCCTATGATAACAATCAATATTCTATCTTAATCAGTTGAAATTCAAGGCATGTAGCTAATTTAATTTTTAGTGTTTTTGTTTACTACAATCTAGCAATAAAACACACTGTCTATAATTCTGTCATATGAAGTGGTGCAGATGTTCTTATGTTGGTTTATTTTCTCTTTTTTTGCATTTCAGGCTGAATGAAAATCCATCTACTATATTTGAATATTGGCTATTTGTGTTCTGGATTCTTAAAAAAAATTGCAGCAAGAATTGCCCAAAAACATGCTACTGTCCTTTTCAAACAAATTCTTCTTTCATAAGTTCATTTATAAAAATATCTTAAGCATGATTTTACTCAAAATGATATATGATATTGAGTGCTCTACATTCAGAGAGAAAAATTTTTGTGATGAAACATTTCCTCTCTCCATTGTAAATAATTCTTTGTAAATAGTCCAAAATATGCTGTTAAACAGGTCGTCATTTGTCATATTCTTGTTTCAATCTTTTAATAGGATTTTAATTTTAAAGAATTAATTTCTTCCTGCAGTTTTTGTGAAGCCACTGTTATAATAGCAGTACATTCCAAATCTTTTTCTTTAATTACTTTGAAATAATGTACTCTAAGTAAGGTTGATAAGACAATTATACATATCTCCTGTCTTAATTGTAAACAATATTTTGTAACTAGTTCACAATATGTTTTGTGAAAAGTTTATCATCTGTACAATCTTTTGATACATACAATTTCAAAAACACTTTTTTCCTGCAATACTTATGAAGGCACTGTTAAAGTAACACGTACATTCCAAATTCTTTATCTTATTTTTGAAAGATCTACTTCAAATAGCAAGTGTCAACAGTCATTCTAAGTGGTCACATGTGCACATTTTGATTTATCAGTGAATCAATATCAGTGCTGATGTGGGAGAACACATAGTAACAGAGACTGAGAGACAATCTGTGTGACGTCGATATATATTCAGATCTTAACCTCACAGAAATAATGACATAACTGGTTCAACTTGACCTTTCAAATCTGTGACATGTCAGTCCTTCTTAATGAGTTAAGCTTGAAATTCTTTCTTGGTGTGGTTGAAGTCTTTTTTGTCAATCAAACATAAAGTGTTTTCTTTGTTGCTTAACATTTAATATGTAAGACTCTTGTGCAGAAAATGGTATTGAGGTCATTATGCAGTGGCTCCAAAGTGAAAAAAAAAAAAGTGAAAAGTTTGTGCTCCTTAATTCCTGTTGTTATTGGATGGTTTCCTGTATTTGTAATACTCTGGTATTGACATTACTATTGAGATCATTTTGCAGTGGCTTCAAAGTATGAAAAAAAAACCTGTAATTATTTGTTGGTTACTTATCATATCATTTTTCAATGTTCTTTTATGAATGTTGGTTTTGAGATAATTATGCAGTGGCTTCATAGTATGAAAAGAAAAACCTGTTAGTTAAGTATGAATAAACTTTGTTGTTATAAAGTATGTGATGATCATTGTTGTGTTCATGAGGCCATTTCAATTAAGTGTCGAAATGAAAGTGATCCTTAATTGCGACAGTTCTACCCCTGTACCCTCTGTGATTAGGCCAGAAAACTCGCCCCAAATGCAACACTAAGACTAATCGCTGCTCACTTTTTCCCGCTCTTTGATCAGTTTGCTTAGCCTCTTTAATAGTTCTAATTGGCTCCTTTTACAGTTGCACATGAGATCGAGGGTATTTGTGCCACATAGCCTGCCAGCCAGCCAGCCCACGAGTCCGCCAGTCCAAAATGGCGCCCAATGCCCGAAATCGCATGGCATCACGATCTGTCCCCTTTGGACTGGTCCTTAAAACCCTTGAGAGTGATTCGCGTAAAACGACACGATTAGTATGCGTTCTCCTTCGTCGAACGCAATGATAATTAAAGTAATTAATAATAATAATAATAATAATAATATTTTATGTTATGTAATAGTCTGATAGGACAGTGGATGAACGCGCGTCATGGCTGAAACTATCATCAACTATCATGACCTTTTGAATGGGGCTTAAGTCTTCTAGATTCTAATTTTCACGGCTTGGTAGTGGATATACCGCCTTCAATGTTTGAAAATAATTCTACCGCTGCCCCTGGGTGGCTTCAGTTTATTTTGCTGTCATATTTTGGAAAATGAGTATTTAACCATTTATAATGGTTATACGATGTTATTTGGTCCCTTTGGCGCTCGTCCGGACATCAAAGCTAACATCCCTTCTTGCTGTAGAAAAAATGGATGTTTCTAGGTTCCAAAGTTGCAATCTGAGAAATGCATGTGATTCACTTTTAAATATCAGAACTCCGGCAAGATTTCGAGGTGTTTCCTCATTTATTCATCTCGGTATGTTTAACAACGTACTTTAGCGTCGTATCCTGGAAGAAGCCAGTTTAAGAGGTTTGTATCGAAGCATGTTGACCGAACGACTGAGTTGACTGAACGCTCGCTGTTCTTTACCGATAAAGAGGCTAGACTCCAAAGTTAGTAAATAAAAATGTAATTAACTTATCAAATTAAATACATTTGGCTTTAAATAAAGCCATAAAGCCTTCCAAAAGTCTTTGGACAATCTTGAATAAAAGCAAGTGAAATTTTGGTAAAAGAGAGTTCAAGAAAACTTAGACAAGTGTCCACGTCAACCCCAGTGTGAAGGTCTCTAAACACGTTTGGCTAATTAATCAGATCACGTACGTCACGCATGAACATGTGAAAGCTTACCATGGGAGGACGGGTGGGGAAAATTCCAAATACGGAACACCCAAAATTCACACTTCTGTGCCTGGTTTTCGGTTATTTTGGCAATTATAACTTTATAGTTACCTTGTAACAAAGAATAAAGTCAAAATTAAAAAAATTGAAGTGGTATTTTAGGGACGAGTTTTCAAATACAAAAAGAAGGAAAAAAGAAGGAATTTGTTATATCCATGCCTATTGAACTAGATTCACTTCGCTGTCAATTTTAATGCTGGTTTTTAGAGGAAAATCAAGCGGACAGCAAAACGTTTTATATATTTATCTTCGTTCCTTTGTCGCCAGTTAGTAAGCTGCAAGCAGTTTATTTATTTTCGAGACGTCTCAGAGTTTTGAGGTGATTTTCTGCTTGTATATCTAAAATTCGCTGTACGCATCCTCATCGCGCATCGACAATTGCGCGTGCACATCACTTTAGAACAACCACGGCTTTTTCTTCACAGAGGAAGCTTGATATAAACTAGCATGTCTACTTATCATTTACTTTTAATCAAGTCATACCTTTCGTTTCTATGAAAAATCAAAAGAACCATTTACAGTGACGCGGTACACTGGGAATGAAACCAACAAGCTATCGTCGTGGCTACATGACATCACAATGGATAAATAGAATATTTTTATTCCTCTGAAACGCATGTGATCACTTGAACACAAGGAAGCAATGATGAGCTTTTTGAAGAAAATGCGAAGAAAAGGTCGAAGTAAAATCCATCAAGAATTACCCTTGAGAGCTTCGGTTCCTTCTCCTGTCGAATGTGCCAAAGATAATTGGTAAGTGGAGAAAAAGAAGAAAAGTCATCGGAAAAGATCACCGATTAATAAATGCGTTATAGATTTAAGTGAAAGTTTTACCATTTTACCGAAATGATAGGGCAACCGTTACTAATGAAAACACGCCGGAAAAAAAAATAATCTAACGGTGTGTTTTTAAGTCTGGGAAAAAAACTAAATAACTCCAAACAATTTACAACTTAACCAGTTCTTCTTGGTTTTAGAGACCCGTGCTAAATCTCAGTTTTAAGGAGCCACTGAATTGTGTTTTTATTGGAAATCACGGGGATATAAAAGTAATTGAGATTCAGAAAAATGAAACTGCTAATCTCTGATAGACTGATGTGAAGATTTCAGGAACCCAAAGTTTCGAAACTCCATTTACGAAATATGAACAAAAATATTTCATGGCTTATCAAGGAAGGCCTAAATATAAAGCAAGTTCATAAAAAATAAGGCAAAGTACAAGATCTTGCTCTTTTAGAGTATTTAGGGAACATTGTTTGATTACTTGAATTCACTGTACAGTTGTGATTATCTTGCAGTTTCTTGGACAAGAAAGATACCGTCAGGGAAGAAAGTGGAGAGTTGGCCATTTATGTGGAGACAGAGATTAAGGTTGTCGAACGCGAGTTGCTTTCATTGCACAAGGTGATGGTTAAATTGGAATTAGAGATGAAAGAAGCATTGGATACCGAAGGTTAGTTTTCTTTTTTTTTTCTTTGCGTGAGTCAATATATGAAAACGTGCAGAACGCCAGGATATCATAATTTATAGTTTAAAAACCAATCAAAGCAGCAAATTAAGATGCGCTGTCACTAATTTGGCTCAACAAGCTTTATAAAATCAATTTTCTGAGATTCAGAATGGCTCACCTCAATGTTCTCGTGTAGCCTTTTGAATAAAAGCGATTTTGCATTGGAAAAAATGGCTTATTTTCGGAAAACCAGCCGATTTTTGATTTGTCAGTCATTTTCGTGAGCCATTCTCCTGAATCCCTAGCTTCGTTTCTTTCCAACTGTTTACCTTCGTCAAATAGCAGCCGAACAATCCTCCTTGTTGACAGGAATCTTTCGGGATTCAAAGTGCTTAGTTTCCCTCACGCAACGCTAAAGAAAAGCAGTTTCTCTCCTAGGAAGAGGTGAGGTCTGGAAACAATTATCTGCGTATACCGTCGCGCCAAATAGAGGGTGATGCATGCGTTATAAATAAACACAAATGAAATGCAGCCTTCTTTAATTTACTCCTTTTAGATTGTGAGGTCGAGTTTGAAAGCTTATCACTTGACTGGTTAGCGCTAAATAAGTTCCGTTCTGAACTTGACCAAAGGAGACAAGACCTTCTTACTCTGTAAGTAAGTACATCTTATCCCTATAAAGCTGTTTTAAACCTTGCTCGATAGCTGGGAACAA